GTGCATGCAGATTATATTTTAAAGTTGTTAAGCTAAATCAACGAGAGGCTGGTTTATTCTTTCTACAGGCTTATGCTTTAAGCATGTAGAACATATCCGCGTTTATGTGTAGGCTACTCAATATTGGTCAGTCGTGACTCGTATCCGACATGAAGGATCAGTGAATGAAACTGTGACCACAAACATCATCAGGTTAAATGAACAAAAGACGATACGCGTTCACACAGTTTACTTCATGTAGACACCGATGTTTCAGGAGTTTAGGACACATGCTTATTCGATAACTGTTTTATTTCCTATTTGGGTGATGTATATTTATTTTTTAAGTTTAACTGTTTTTCAAATCCGTTGTTAGATGCCAGTGTTTCCTGTCATAGCTATACAAAGACTTGATTTGAAAACAGTATCATAGCTATTAAACTATCTTGTTAAGAAAAATGTTTTAGCTTAAAGATGTGATTTTATTACAAACTATAGGCATTCTAACTGGGAAACATAACACTTTTTTTTTTTTTTTTGATTTTTGTTTTCCAACAAAACCAGTTGTTCGACATGGGTTTGTAGGTGTGGCCTGAGAGGTGCGCTCCTGAGCTCATTCCGAGTTTTGACAGCAGCGTGTGAGGATGATCTGACGGAAACAACGTGAGATGAGAGGGTCTTTTTATTTTGTTTAACTTGTGACAAACTCTAACTAGTTTTAAATTGCAATGATAGACTACAACAGATTTTGACAAGTATCTTATTCTGATGTTTTAACGAACGTATCTGGAAGGATACTTTTTGTTTTAGAGCATGGTGAGAAGTCAGCATTTTTTTCTTTTCTTTTCTAAATGGTAACAAACTCTAACTTTAAAATTGTAACTGCCGTATTTTTTAATGAACGTATCTGATACTTTTTTTTTTCTTTTTTTGTTTAGATAGATGGTGGGGGTGTACAGAAACAGGTGTCCAAACAGGTGTCCATTTATGGTAGGAGGGAGGTTTTTTTTTATGACCCTCATCAATCAAATTTTTGACACATAGTCGACTATACTCTCTCTCACATGAATATGTTGGAACTGATGCGAAGCATTAACTCAGCTCAGGGCAGAGAAAATAGCATTGCATTATAAACAGCCAGAATAAATATTGCACACAGATTGCACATTTTTGTTGATAATCATTTTGAATTTTTGAAGATAATCATATATGTTGCATTAAAGCACTGTTTAGTATTACCTACTGATATTGTGTTTTACTGTAACTTCCTCTTCTTGTACAGTACATTAATATCAAATACTCACCAGCAACAACAACCATTTCATATTTTTATTTTGTTTTATTTTTTATTAAAACCATACAAACATTTGTTGTAATCTGATATATAAAAAGAGCGTTTAGACTTTGTTCCCAATCTAAGGGTGCTAGGCACCGTGATTCTATTTTGATCACATGTTTGAATACTTGTACTAATTCTGACCCCCTGATTCCACCTAAACTCTTAACTAGTCTACATAATGAATATATATTTACAAGCATAAAAAACAAATGTAATAACTATCAAAAACAAAATTTCTCAATGGCTAACCAACAGAATGTGGTGTTCCATGTAACATGTGAAGTCACAAGACTCTTTCCATACACAATTTGTTCCTCTTTAATTCCTTAAAAAAAAACAAAAAAACAATTGGCAGTGTCTCTTTTGTATGGACAAGCGTTGATAAGGCACATACCTTAGGCTCAAAGCCTCTAGTCCTTTTAAAGAGGAATATGTCATACCAGTTCTATGTTCAAAACTAAAGAAAGATGCTGATACACAACTACAGAAAATTTTCAAATAACCATACAGAATCAAACAGAACCTAATTACGAGAGTACACATTTAAAAACTGTACATATGCAGGTAGAAACTGCAGGCTAGTTTTAATACTGCTAAAAAGTCTCTTAGCTCTTGAAGTGGAGCTTGAAGTGTCTTGGTGTTTATAATTTTCCTTATTCAGAAATGGGGAAAGTAGAGTTTTTTATAGACAAGCAAAGACAGACTAAACTGCTGTGACAAAAACAGCACACAACTGACTGATATAAACATAACAAATAAAATTACTGGTATATTTGGATAAATTTAAACATGACTTGATACCATTGCTTCAACACATTTTGGCCACACATTAAAAAAAATAAATATTTGTGCAATGAGCAACATGTTGAGATTGACTCATGACGACAATGCTTTTTTTGTCATGTAATGCATCAGCACCAGTCACTAACAATATGATCAAAATTATGCAAAATGTAAATTTTTGCAATATAAAAAATGAAGAAAAATATTAACATTTATTTACAAGGATACAGTAAATATAATCAAGATATTAAATGATCAGCTCTAGCATTTTGCTCTACACTTATACCCTTGCACAACAAAGTCGTCCCTCTTACTTGCCATGTTGGGAAAAATTGGTCAACAACATTTGGTAAGACTTATATAATCACTGCAACATTGTTGATATAAGACACTTAAGAGACATTTAGACATTTTAATCAAAATATGACACTTGGGCCTGTTAAGAGTGATATTCGACCCTGTTTTGACCTGATGATAGTTAAAGTCTGTGCATATTCACACCATCTTTGTAGTATGCAATGCACTCAAAAGTAAAGATACATAATACAATGAGTTAACCTACTCAGTTTAGTGAACACTGTGTACACTTAATAAGGAAATTATCATGCACTTGTAGCAACAATGTACAACAAAACATAAAAATATCACCAACACAGAGAATACCGTTTCAATGTGATAAAAAGAAGACCAGTGTCTCCATCTGTCATCGTCATATAACAATATAAAAGAAGGGTTTTAAAAATAGCCTCTATTCAAGAAATGGAATGGTTCTATTGGTCAATGCCTCTAGGAAGATGAGACAGGTTTAAGATTGTGTACCAACTCTTTGTCATCATCACCTAATAATCTATTTTAATGAGTATAAAGCAATAACTTTCTTTCTCATCCCACATCTTTACATTACATACACAAGTCTGTTAAATGAGGGGGAGTGCACAGATTACTGCAAAATAGCCAGAAATTTGCTTTCTTCTGCGAGGGTGGTGAGGAGGGAGCTCATGTCACCGATAGCCATGTTGTTAGTTCCTGGATGAAATGAAGCTGAAACAGGAGGAGTAGTCAGCCGAGAGGAAGTTCTAGACAGACCCTGGAAAAAACTGGGACTGATTATGTCAGACACCACACTACCCTGCTCATAACCATCCTCAAGGATGGAACAAATATCTAAATCAACATTATCTAAGACACCTGGGCTTTCTTCTACTGTACTGGTCACCTGATCAACCCCAGGGGACAGAAGGACCTCAGAAGGTGTTTCTGTCTTAGATGTCAAGCACTCCATTAGACCTGACTGTGCTATGTCATGAGAAGATGACGTTTTGGATGTGTCAAAACACTCAGCAATAAACACAGGCTTTTGTCGCTGGATAGAAGAGCGAGTGTTGGTATGAAGGCGATCATCTGCCTCAAGCTTCAGTCCTGAAACCTGATTTGCAAGAGAGTGATTGGTTCCATTTCTCAAGCTTTGCTGCTGGCATGAATGTGCATTATGACCGTTGATATGCTGCTGAATGAAGTAGGGTTGTGTGTGATTTAAGCTTCTATTGCCACTATTGACAGGTGGGTGAGTCATAGGAGGTTGGGCCTGGTGAGGCAGTAGTGTTGCCGGAGACAAGCTGCAGTTAGCTGGACTTTGCAACAAAAGGTTGCTGCTGATTTGATGTGTCATTGTTTGATTTTGTACGAGGTTAGTTTGGGATATAGTAGTCTGTTGGGTACAGCTAGGACGGAGGGGACCCAAAAAGATATGAGAGAAATCTGGTCGACCAAAGTTGTTGCGCCTTGATTCCAGTTTGGAGGTTGAAGAAGACTCAGTCTTAATGCCTGGATTCGTCCTGGACTGTTGTTGGGATGGCTTTGCAATTTGTTGATGTTGCTCTGGATGTATGCACCTGTAGTTCATACCTGCCATGTGTTGGACACCATCTCTACAAAGAGTTGAGTGTTGATCCATGAACTCTGTATGCATTTGTTGCTGCACAACCATGTTTCCAAAGCGACCAAAGGCGTTGCTCACTATACCATTCTGGTTTGACCATCTTCCGCACCTCTGAAACTGCTGCCTGGGAGGAGAAACATCAGCACTACCAGAGGTCACTTCAATACACTGGATGGGCATTACATCTTTACTATTGCTTTCCCCTTCTGACTCCTCCTGTTGCTGTTGTGGGTTGAGGAAGTTATGGACATCTGCAGTACCCTGGCCAAAACTGGATCTATGGGGACTGGAATCACTGCTATGGTTGTCTTGGTTGTGATCTGATTCTTGATCTTGGGAATGAAGATACTGTACCAAGTCATCCGGCAGAATGTCTTCATCAACATGTAATAGAAGACCATCTTGGTCTACTGCCAAGTCCTCAAGTGCTGATTGCTCCATAATGCTGGGAGGGCAAGGCGACTGTAGACTCCCCTGAAAGATGTAGTTCCGTAAGCTCAGACTGTTATCTTCTACATCTAAATAATGATTACCAGCAATATGGGGTAATAAATTCATGTTGTTTAAACTGCTGAAACGCTGTAACTGTGGCAAGCCAAAAGCACTAGTATCCCGTGTACGCACAGGGTCACTGGCTCTTCGATCATTATTCCCTGGACCTTCAACAGGGTACAGTCCCCTTCGTTGATATACTGCTTGACTGCCATGTAAGTTATGCGTACCATCACTACAGCGACGTGGCCTGACCAGTGGTGGTAGTGTAAGTTGGCCCATGTTCTGTTTATCTTCCATCAAAGCCAGATGAGTCTTTAGGCTCATGTGCTCCATGTTTGGCAAGGGTGTGGGAGGAGGCCCACCTGTAGCAGCGGCATACTTGGCCTTCAGGTGATAGTGTTGAGCCGGAGTGAGGTTCAGAACACCTCTTGCCCCCATCCCACTTCCTCTGATACCTCCACTTCCACCGTACACCATCCCACCTGAACTTCCTCCACCTCCACATTGGCTGGCTTCACTGGAGCGTCGTGAGGCGTCAGTGGAGATAGGGTCATAAGAGTCAGTGGCACTGAGATTGTGAATACGCCGATGGTGGCTGTGCTCAGACTGCGAGGCCTGGCTAGAACGGCGGCTGGAGAAGCAGGGGGAGATGCCAGAGGATCGACGACTGCTGCTCAGGTAGGCCGAGCTGGTGTTGCTGCCACTGCTGTCCCGGCGCTCATGCAGCAAATTCAACACTGTCAGCTCTGTGTTGGATGGCTCAGGACGTGGAGGAGGCTGGGGAACCCCCACAGAACTACTCCTACCAAGGCATGAACCTAATAATGAGAGATACTCTTATTAGGAGAGGTTAATGTTATCATTATGATGCCATTATAGTCATAATTAGGCATTAATGGGTAAGTTCATCCAAAAATGAAGCTAAATGAAATGAAAAATGAAGAAATAAAGTACATGGATTGTATTTTGTGTCAAGTTTTACTAATCTTGATTTCTCAAAATGGTCCTGATTTCTTCTTTTATGGTCCGAAAAAGAAAGAAGGCAACACAGCATTTAAACAACACCAGGGTGAGTAAATGATTACTTAATTTTCATGCTTGGGTGACCTAACCCTTTAAATGTGTAGAGATCAGTATATTGAGAAAGCTCTGAAAGTAAGGATGTACTTGCACTAGGCACGGGTGCTTTGTACCATGCCCAAACACGATTGTACCCCCTCCCCACTCGCTGCTAGCCTGCATTCATATTGCACATTCATATTGCACTTTCCGGGCCTGAGCACGTCTTTATGATGCGACTGTTTTAAAGAAAACAGGATCAAAAGTGCTCTCACTCAGCATCACAGAATCCATCGTAATGTAAACTCTGTGGCTTATTATTTTGAGCCAATTGGGGTGTGGTGACACATGGTCCACTCACATGCGTAATATGTTGTTTAATAGATCTTGGTTGGTAGATTGGTTAAGAGATATTGGTTAAATGGAACAGTTGCATAATTGACGTCATGTGTCTCGAGTTCCGTAATCTGGCATTGTTAGTGCTCATAATATATGAACCGTGCCTGAGCCCACCTCTACAAGCGGGCCAGGGAACACTAGTCAAATGAACTGAACATTGGGGGTCAAACATGCTCGGGTACGGTTCAGATTGCCTGGTGTGAGTACACCCTCAGACTTACCCTTTCCTGTGAGGGCAGGCAGGGCCTGGCCTTTAGGGGGCATTGTTGGGGACATATGTCCTAGCCTAGGCACAGCTCCATTCACCTGCCTTAACCTCTCCATCTTAACATGCTCCATCCAGCGTAGGGGCCGTCCTACACTTCGGCGAGTCTGCAAAGCTAGTGTTGCCACCGTGGTTGTTGCAGTGGATACTGTAGAGTCCATTATGGGGGAATCCTCCTCCTCTCCCTTTCCTTCCTCATCCTCCTCTTCATTTTCCTGGTCCTCAAGAACTGCCTCCTCCCCCGCAAGCCCAATGCTGTTCACAGCAAGCTGGACTCCACGGCTGATATGGGGGCCGCTGGTGGACTGGTCACTGCTGCATGAAGACTGACTGCCAGTGCTTGGCTCAGACGTCTAAAAGGGGAAGAGAGGAGAAAACATTTATTTAAAATTTTATTTAAAATATTTATTTATAATTATTTAAAAATAACAATCCTGATCTTCTGGCACATTTTTTACAGGTGAAATGGATGAATGCAATGAGGAGAGTGAAATGCCATGTTGACAAAATTTCTAAAATTTTGGCATATAATAACACCTAATAGAACCGAGGTCTGAAACCCTACCCTACCCTACTGGAGACCCACTGTCCTCCAATGTTTATTTCCAACCTGCTTGAACACACCTACCTGTAATTCTCAAACTATCTTGAAGACCTTGATTATCTGGTTCAGGTGTTTGATTAGGATTGGAGCTAAATTCTGCAAGACTGTGTATCTCTGTAAGAGTACTGTATATGTAGTTAATGAGAGCAATAACTTTTACACAGTTGTACACAGTAAATTTTGCTGTCTACATAAAAACACTCTTTGAATAACGTTCATCTCCGCTTTTGCACAGAATGTAAGCTAAAGTAAATCACAGAAGTGTGAGAAACCGGTTTTCATTTGCTCAGCAGCTGGCAATGCCAGAACTAAATAACCAACAGTGGGAGTAGAGGTAAGCTTGTTTGACCCATTTTAAGAAAACAGGCCACATGGACAATGGTCTCCTTTTAGAGTTGTTGGGTCCAAATTAGGTTGTTGTCTGTGTTGCAAATGGATAATGGCTGCTAAAGAATGAGCTGTCTTGTTAGTAGTGGTGCAAGAAAGCTTGTATTTTTCTTGATCGTGATTACAATGAGCTGTTTCTGAACATAGGCCTAAAGAATGAACCGGAACACAATGAAACCACAAGTGCAGGCACAGCTCACTGATTTAAAACCAAGTTGCCGAGCCGAATACACATACAGTTACTAGTAGTAGCTTTATCATGCAAGCTGATATAATACTCATGTGACCATAGTCAACAATATTGTGACAAAAAGGATGCACCATGCTACAAATAAAAACATTACTAATAATAATGTAAGAGATGCCATGATGCTGTTGACCATTGACTGAATAATTGTTCCAGATGGCCCAGAATTGAAAGGACAGAATGAGCAGTGAAAAGAGAAAAGATCAGACCTATAATGACATCACCATTCTCACCTTATCACCCACTGTCCTTAGTAAGAGAGGAAAAGTAATGCATGTGGTAGTGGACAAAAAAGATTCAGTTATTAATTTGAATGTGCATTTAGATGTAGCTGGCTGTAAGCAAGTATTAGCTGAGCAGTTATGAAACCAGGAAAGGAAAGGGTAAACATTAGTAAGACAAAATATTTTTTATTTTTTTTATTTTAAGTTTAGTTATTTATGGAGTTGAAACTTTAGCATAGCAAACCATCATTTTTTGGTTTTCATTTGTTTAAATTTCTGTTTGTTTGTTTAAAATGGAAGGAGGCTTACCATGGGCTTCTCTGTTTTGATTGACTTGACTTGTAGATATTCGTCTTGTTTCGAGGTAGCATGATTATACTCCCTTTGGTCAGTGATCAATCTGAGAGGCAGTTGTCCCGGTGACTGACCTTGTCCATTTCCTCCAGGTTCTCGGGGCTGAGGTGGGGGACGCGGGTATGTATCTCCACGCTGTTTCTTGGTAACATGTGCTTCAGGACCATGTACAGTCTTAACATGTTTCCGTAAAGAGCTGGGATCAGTGTATCGTTTAATGCAACCAGGGATTTTACACACATAGGGTTTCTGAGAAAAAATAAAAAGAGAGGGAGCATTGGCATGTTATAGAAATAAATGTCTGCTAACTCTTTTAACAACTTAAAGTCAACATGAATGGTAGTTCCAATCCAATTTAAACATTTGATGTATTCTGAGTGAAAATAATATTCAACAATAAAATTAGGAAAGAGCTAGCTGGACATGATTGCTATATGACAGGAAGTTGAAAGGGCTGAAAATCAAAACAGCTTGTTGATGTCAGCCAAAATGGAAAGATCTAGAGTTAGAGCAGGTCATCAGATTTTGGAAGAAAATTTTACTTTATTAAAGGTGTTGTTTTTCCTGTTACAATAATGTGCACAGTTGAATCGTTCACGATAAGACCAGGAACATGTAATAATAAAGTAAATATAGTCAATTTTGATTTCATGACTATAATTTCTTCTTGTCCAAACCTGAGAGTGTTAGAAGCAAAGTACATTGTTTAATACTTGGTATATTCATGTATGTGAATTACCTCATTGGAGTGTGTGCGATTCTGGTGTTTGGCTCGGTCTGATGCATTGGAAAAGGCTTTGTTGCAGCCTTCATGTTCACACACATAGGGTTTCTCTCCTGTGTGTGAGCGCAAATGTGTCTTCAGGTTCTCCAGTCTGGAGTAGGCCTTTGAACAGCCTTCAAACTGAGAGAGAAAAGGACACACAGTTATATTGATTTGTTCTAGACAGACCAAGACTGTTGAAACAGGTAGGTTCTCAGGTAAGCCCACATCAAAAGTTGTCCTACCTACTGAAATGAATGTCTGAAAACAAAAAATACCATATGTATTTAATATAATTCTCACCGTGCATTTATGAGGCTTCTCTCCTGTATGTCTGCGCATGTGCACTACCAGCATGTACTGGGCTTTAAAGGGTTTCTGCTCTCTTGAACATTCTTCCCAGCGACACACAAACTCCTTCTTTTCTCCATGGATGTGATCATTATTTATGTGCTATGAGAGGAAGAGAAGGTCAAAGTTCATGTTAATGAATAACATGATATATGGCAGAAGACAATTCTACTTTGTATGTGAAATATGCAATGGCATTATTGTGCCAATAGAGGGCCTCAGGATCACAAAATTGAGCCTTAAACAACTGCTCATCAACTGCTTAACCACAGCAAGCACTGCAAGTCTACTGTAGCTTAATGTTTCACCCCAGACATTAACACATTAATAATATCTATGTAATATCTGAACTTATGGAAGAAATTCAACATTATAAAACCAGGGTTTACACTAAGGATGATGTCCAAAGTTAAAGTGTCTTGTCTACTGGTCAGCAGCAGCAGTCTTTAAGGGAACTTACAGAACCATCTGGATCAACATTGAAATGCTGTTTAAAATCAAAAGAAGCCTGTCTTTATCTTCAATGTGTCTTTTGTCAGGCTTTACATGCAGTTTGTATAGAAACCAATGTCTGCCACATAATAAAAACAAAATCATGCTTTGATAAAAAATAATTATGACAAAAATCAGAAATTATAGCATACTAAGTCATACTTACGAGATAAAAAATTGAAATGGTAACATAAAAAGTCCAAAATAGTCAGAAGTCAAAATCATGATATACTAAATCATAATTATTACATAATTATCAATGACAAAAAAAAAATCTAAATCGTATGATAAAAGGCTGATTATAAAACAAGGCTAAGAAATTTGACCATAATTTGGAGTTTTTATGTCATTGTGATTTACCAGATTATATATGTGATGGAAATGGGCTTTATGGGATTTATAATCATTTAGTTCTGAACACTTACTTTAAATTACTTTATTTTATTGGAAAACATTTCTATTTTTGAGTATTTATGTTTGAATGTTTGTGAAAAGTAATTGATAAAACTCTTTTTTTCTGGTTAGTGTATGATCCTTTCTTTCTTTCATGTTTTGTTTTTACAAACTGCCTGCTTCTCCTCACACCATTATTCGTTCTCATTTGTCATCTTTCAATTTCCTTTTCTTCTCTTTCTTTTCTCTCTCTCTCTCTCTCTCTCTCTCTATCTGCTCAGTATGCTCAGTCTGCTGTGAGTGAGCATGGTTTGTGAGTCTCAGTGTCTGATTTAAACGGGATTTCAAATAAAACCCTGTCACCTCCCATCACTATAGTGATGACAGTTGTGCTACTGTGGCAATTTTCAATCTAAGGCTTCAGGAGGGGTGGAGCAGGAGTGGGGGATGCATTTGGGGGTGAAAGATGTCGAAAGATTAGTGAAAGCATCTCTAATGCCAGAGCTTTCCACCTGCAGCCTATAGCACCTCTATTCACCCCTCTTGTTGATACTGTCACCTCTGGCTTAACCAAACCCCAATACTTCCTCTCTTTCATTTGCCATTTTTCTCTACTTCAAGCCATCAGTTCCCTGTTGCGTTTCTCCTATCTTTCTCTCAACATGCTGTCTCTGCTTAGGTCCTTCTCATTTTTTCTATAGAACTTTTTTTTTTGTCTGGCCATCTTTGTAACACACACACACACACACACACACACACAGTGAGGGAGTTCTGAAGAGTTGAAGGTTTCAAAGAAAAACACACATTTTCATGCAAACTGAGCAGATGAGGTCAGCATCTGGCATCCACACAAAGACAACAGTGTGCAGCACTTATGAGTGCTTTTCCTGTCATGAAGCCATTTGATTTCAAAGGGACAGACACAATATCCTGAACATAAGTGAGCAGGATTAATGAATTCTAAAGCAATGGAGCATCTCCGCAAGAGACAGAAAATCTTGGATGGAAGACAGGGAAGAATATACGAGAGAAAGACAGACAGACAAGCCAAAAGACAAAGACAAAACAGAAAAAGAAAGACAGTCAGTGAGTTGACTTCCCTCACATACAGAGCAGAAGAGGGGACAGACCAGAGTGACAGCAGGAAGGCCAAGAAAAGGCAGAGTAAAACAGCTTCTAAAAAAGAGTGAGAGGTGGCAGCAGAGACAGAGAGCAGAGCTCATCCTCTATTCCTCTTCATGACACAAAGGCGGCCTGCATCACAGTCCTCCCTGTCACCTCGCTGCAGTTGCAGCCAAACTTTCACAGAGTTTGGGTGAGGAACATACACATTTGTGTGTGCGCGAGTGAATGTGTATGCAGACACTCTATTTTTGCACTTCTGCATCACTAGAAGTCGAAGTCGGACTGTCATTCAAACCTTTCTTTTAGACAAAAAGCCAAACTTCAATCACATGTCTGGGTTGATTTTACGGCAAATGATCACCATGAGAATGTCCTTAATTGAAAGCAACTGTCCAGATTTCAGTTTGTATTAACATCTAATTATTTTCACCCATAAAACATGGTGTATAGAACTACTTTATAAGGCCAATGTATATTTCTGTTTTGACATGCTTAGCATGTATACAACCAAAGGCATAGCCTTTTAAAGTATACTCCACTCAATAGTGTGCGTGAACACAGGCAGTCGACACCGCGCACTGCAAAGTTTCATCTTTGTCCAATGTCTGCGCTGTTTCTCTCCAGACATTATGACCAATAAAAATTAATGTTTAGCCATTTAAACGAGTGTAATGAGACTGACAAGATTCCCAGTTCTATAAGTACAATAGATGTCTTTGCATTTTTTTTAGAAAATATGTTTTCTTTTTTCTTATGTTGATGAAAGTATTATTAAATTAGATAAAATGTCGGTAACACTTTCTACCCTTACGAATACCTTTATAATGTATTATAAATACGGGCTTCATAGAAAGTGTTACCAAAATGTCTAATAGCAGCATAGGATCTTTTAAAAGGCATATGGAAATTTTCTGCTAAATTTTTGGAAATCGCAGATTTTAAACAGGTCTAAGAATAGCAATTAAAAACCCCAAACTTGAGTGCATTCCCTTGGATTAATGAATATTTGTCAACACTCGATTTAAAACTTCTCTTTCATCCTCCCTTTTATACCTCACTCCAAGAGGGATTCCCTGTGGCATGTGATCTGTCTGCCGGCTCTGTCGCTCGATAATGTGGAGAAAGCGGCAGAGAGAGATTGAAACACATCCCTGAATGCTGGTATACTCACTTGTACAAATGAGCTTAATGCTGTCATGCGTGATGCATGACCTGGCCATGCTGATAAAAGGAGGGAAAAGGAAGGGAGGGAAGTGTTAGGAGGGGGGTGACACTAATGCCCTGATGGCCTGATGTAATGGCAATGGTTATTGAACGGATGATAGCGTTGTTGTAAGCGAGCGTGGCTGCGGCCGAGGGAAATAGACTAACAGGTGCTGATGCTATGCTCACAGCTCCGAGGAGAGATCTATTAATCTCTGGCCTGCCACGGTAGAGGACGACCACAACCGCTGGGACTCCCAGATTCGTAGGAAGGAACAAGATGCTTACTTTTATTTGTTTATTTTCATGTTTGCTGCATGCAAATACAAACACATACACACTGGGGCATAACTCCAGATATACATTTTGTTTTCCTACCTTACTGTTGAGCAAAATTGACTGTGTGAAGTAGAATATTTTCAGATTACCTCTTTTCAACATAGTGCACACATGCATGACTGCCCTAATTTGCAGTTCTCTTAAATTAATTTGTATTGTCTTCTTATCTGGCTAGTTTTTCTAGGCCGTGGCCTGCACCATTAAAATGCAGTCATGCATGAGAAGTGCCTGTTTTCAACAGCGTTTAGCGTTATCAAACACACAGTAATAAATCGTGCTCTCTTTTCTCACGTCAGTTGCTAAAGTGCAATGAAAAAAGCGGGAAAAGCTGACAAGAGGCATAAAAAGATGGAGCGCAAGAGGGAGAGTGAGTATGAGAGAGTAACAATAGTAATGTGCACGGGGGGAGTCAATTGGCATGTGTAATTCAGCGCAGCCTTTTAATCTCTGTGTAAGATACTCCAGACAGATAAGGTGTCTAATCCTCTGTCTGATCAAAAAAGAATCTACATTTTGCCAATTAAAGGGTCCTTGCCAGCAGCCAGATAGGGGTCCGCCTTCCCACTCAGCCCTAGTTTATTTCCCCCAGCACAGGGAGGAGCACAGAGTATCTTAAATATGCCATTCTTACCATACACACACAAGGACATAGACCACCCCACAGCGCCACCATCAGTCAGAACCACCATGAGTGTGGAGGGAGAGACAGAGTCTGAGAGAGAGGATCTGAAATTAACTCTTGCCAAACAGCAAATGAGAGTACAAATAGACTCTGGAGGGGGGAAAAAAGGATATAGGTCTAAATATGACAAATGAGTTATCTCAAATGAGTTTAAAGGGGTCATATGATGCTGCTAAAAAGAACATTATTTTGTGTATTTGGTGTAATGAAATGTGTTTATGCAGTTTAAAGCTAAAAAAACACATTATTTTTTACATACTGTACATTATTGTTTCTCCTCTAAGTTGAAAGTTGAAAGTGAAAGTGGGGAAGTCATTGCCTAATGGTTAGAGAGTCGGACTCGTAACCCAAAGGTTGCGGGTTCGAGTCTCGTACCGGCAGGGATTGTAGGTGGGGGGAGTGAATTTACAGCGCTCTCTCCACCTTCAATACCACGACTGAGGTGCCCTTGAGCAAGGCACCGAACCCCCAACTGCTCCCCGGGCGCCACAGCAAAAAATGGCTGCCCACTACTCCGGGTGTGTGTTCACGGTGTGTGTGTGTGTTCACTGCTGTGTGTGTGCACTTTGGATGGGTTA